AAATGGTGGAAATTAGGAGGAGATATTTTACGTTTCAGAGTGACTATATACCCCCCCCCCCGCTCGACGGCATTTTTGGAGGAAAAAGTGGGCGGGGTTTTGATGGAAGATGGAGATGGTGGAGGTAGGGAAAAGGGGGTCGTATCAAATCCACCGTTGGGGGAGGGGGGTCGTAAAAAATTTTCGAAAAGTAACAACGATAGGACGACCCTGCAGCAAGTGCGCGGCAGTGCGCTAAGGCCTTGCCCGTCGCGCTGCCCGCGCTGCCAGCGTAATCCACCACGGCATACGTGGTCTCTGCGTCCTCTCGCGTACGACGTACTATCTCGCGTTCTCCCTCTCCTCGCAGCGCTGTGTCTCTCCGTCGTACTACGGCCGGCCTCCTAAGGGAAATTTAGTGTTTTCTATGGTGCTTTTTGCTTTTTCTCCTCACTAATGTTCCTCATTGCACCCCTTGCCTAATGTTTGAACAAAATAAAGCATCAATTTCAAATCCGCGAACTCCTGCCCTTTATCCTTAAAGGCAAAGTTCGGGATTTCTGGCGAAATTAGGTTTTCCCCGTCAAATATGCAGCAGTACGCAAGGGCAGACCATGTGCAGAAGTGGCGGGGCGATTTGACAAGGTTTAGGCGCTAGGAGCCTAGGTTGGAGCATTGGCGCCGCCCCAACCCCATTGAGCCCGCCCACTGTTCCGTGCGATCTTCCAAACAACCACATGGAACACTAGATGTTAAATTGTTATTTGGAAGGTCGTAGAGGAATATTTAGCGGATTTCAATTGCGAAAACCAACATCAAAACTTATGTTAAGACCATTATCGAGAACCTAGTCTTTCATTCTAGTGATAGTTTAATTTTTGAGATAGGAAAAAAACAAAAAAGCACATGTAAATAGAAAAAAATAGCGAATAGAAGCAATCAGTTTTCATTGCTGACTTTTTGCAGCCGTGTCGGTTGCTGGCATAAAGCCAACAGTTGTTTGTGACACGTCCAGACACGTAATTCTCCCAGCCCTGGCTTCTAAGCGACTAACGAAGAGAAATTTCTTATTTTGGACTTTTTTGAAAGTACTTCCTGCTTTTTTCTTCAGCTTGATTCACTTAGCACCCAGTACTTCATAGTTGAACAGATAAGTCCCACGTTTTATCCCGGAGTTTGCCTTTTAAGGTAAAGAGGTGAGGCTGACTATGCATTTATAGATAATCGTTAAGGACTTTATTCATTACTCATGTATTGAACAGGGAAGAGGAACCGCGCGTTCTGACGAGGGACGGATCTAAAATCCACTACTGGCTGATGCCCAAGCTCCCTGTTTTCGGCCAACACCAACTAGTAGTTAGGCATAGCCTTTTCCTGTGCGATACGCATAATCCTACTGAAAATGGCACGTCTCATAGATAACCCTCCTTTCGGCATGAACCTGACACAGTCCTTACCTTTCTTTTAGTGGGCTGTAGAAATCATTATGAAGACCAGGATTTGTGAAGCGGACGAAGTCTTGTGAGGACTTTGCCTTGTTATCTATGCACGTTCGTATCCACGTTCATTGTACTGTAATTGCAATCGATTCCATTGCACCCGTGATATCTGACTGGGAGAGAACGCATGGGCGTACCTCAAAAAAAGATTGACATTCAGTGTTTCAACTACCTTTTATTCAGTCAACCGTGCTAGTCCCCACATTTCAAATCGAATAATCTATGATTCATAGCCTCGATCACTTTCTCTTCAGGAGACAACACATAGTGCACTGGCATCAGGTGGACCCATTCAGCAAGAAACAGGACTATTAGAATCCTGGAGTGTCACTCTCCGACTTCATGAGGTGCAGTACCATGGCAGCCGTATACGGTTTAATATTAACCAGTTTTGCTCCGCCCGCTATCGCGCGCATCACACGGCAGGCTTTAGTGAAACTGAAAGACCCATGGAATATCAGCATGAGGCCCTCCATTAGCCACCTCACTATTGAATGTGTTAGACTTTTCCCAGTTTCGCTGAAGTCCATCGAGAATACGCGTGATAACGTCTGGAGCTGAACTGGCATATTTATCTCACAACTGTAAACATCCACCATTCTTCCTGCATTCAGATAATTTAGCGGTGAATCTTTTGCTGTCAGTTTCGAAAGGAGAATGAAATATGCCTGTTTACATAAGTGAAGCTAAGGCTTATCATTTATTTACATTCACCATTATTTAGAACCCCGAAAGGATTAGCGGTTTAATGAGTTTGGGCTTTCTTGATAGGAATGAAAGTTATCATTTGCTGAAGACTTGATTGAGTTCATGCAATAGACTGCTATTAAGTAGGCTGGTCATACAATGATACAGTGTGCACGTACCACTACAAATAGAATTTGTAAGTAGGGACGCTCTAGTGTCAGCGCAAGCCACGTAACGGAATCGACGACTTTTGCGTTCTGACGCCCCTTATCAGCCCTTATCAGTTGTAACCACTTTCCATCACCTACCAACAATGTCCCCGTCCCACCCCACATGACACCTGCGAGTATGGACGCTGTAGTGTCAACGCAAGCTGCGTAACGGAATCGACGACTTTTGCGTTCTGACGCCCCTTATCAGCCCTTATCAGTTGTAACCACTTTCCATCACCCTACCAACAATGTCCCCGTCCCACCCCACATAACACCTGTGAGCATGGTTGCTCTGGTGTCAATGCGAGCCAGGTAACGAATCGACGACTTTTGCGTTCTGACGCCCCTTATCAGCCCTTATCAGTTGTAACCACTTTCCATCACCTACCAACAATGTCCCCGTCCCACCCCACATGACACCTGCGAGTATGGACGCTCTAGTGTCAACGCAAGCTGCGTAACGGAATCGACGACTTTTGCGTTCTGACGCCCCTTATCAGCCCTTATCAGTTGTAACCACTTTCCATCACCTACAACAATGTCCCCGTCCCACCCCACATGACACCTGCGAGTATGGACGCTGTAGTGTCAACGCAAGCTGTAATGGAATCGACGACTTTTGCGTTCTGACGCCCCTTATCAGCCCTTATCAGTTGTAACCACTTTCCATCACCTACCAACAATGTCCCCGTCCCACCCCACATGACACCTGCGAGTATGGACGCTGTAGTGTCAACGCAAGCTGGGTAACGGAATCGACGACTTTTGCGTTCTGACGCCCCTTATCAGCCCTTATCAGTTGTAACCACTTTCCATCACCTACCAACAATGTCCCCGTCCCACCCCACATGACACCTGCGAGTATGGACGCTCTAGTGTCAACGCAAGCTGGGTAACGGAATCGACGACTTTTGCGTTCTGACGCCCCTTATCAGCCCTTATCAGTTGTAACCACTTTCCATCACCTACCAACAATGTCCCCGTCCCACCCCACATGACACCTGCGAGTATGGACGCTGTAGTGTCAACGCAAGCTGCGTAACGGAATCGACGACTTTTGCGTTCTGACGCCCCTTATCAGCCCTTATCAGTTGTAACCACTTTCCATCACCTACCAACAATGTCCCCGTCCCACCCCACATAACACCTGTGAGCATGGTTGCTCTGGTGTCAATGCGAGCCAGGTAACGGAATCGACGACTTTTGCGTTCTGACGCCCCTTATCAGCCCTTTATCAGTTGTAACCACTTTCCATAACCTACCAACAATGTCCCCGTCCCCCCCACATAACACCTGTGATATGACACTGCTAAGTGTCAACGCAAACAGTTCATGAAACGACACTTGCGTTCACGCCCCTTCACGCCCTTATCATTGTCGCACTTCCATTACTATCAGCAATGTCCCCGTCCCACCCCACATGACACCTGCGAGTATGGACGCTGTAGTGTCAACGCAAGCTGCGTAACGGAATCGACGACTTTTGCGTTCTGACGCCCCTTATCAGCCCTTATCAGTTGTAACCACTTTCCATCACCTACCAACAATGTCCCCGTCCCACCCCCACATCACACCTGCGAGGCATTAGTTGCCTCTGGTACTCCCCCCCACCCACCCCCCCCCTACTCAATGCGAGCCAGGTAACGGAATCGACGACTTTTGCGTTCTGACGCCCCTTATCAGCCCTTATCAGTTGTAACCACTTTCCATCACCTACCAACAATGTCCCCGTCCCACCCCACATGACACCTGCGAGTATGGACGCTGTAATAAGGTCAACGCAAGCTGGGACGACTTTGCGTTCTGACGCCCCTTATCAGCCCTTATCAGTTGCTATCGCTTCCATTCATGTACCACCATTGTCCCGGGACCACCTACATAACACTTGTAAGTATGGACGCTCTAGTACTAATATGAACGACAAAACGAAATTGGCGATGCTCGCTTTCTAGCCCCTCTTATCAGCTATTATCAGTCGTTATCAGTTCCTATCACGTACCACTTGAGTCCCCATCCCACCCCCTATAACATATGTAAGAACCATGGCGCTATCGTTGCTGTGACCCGAGCTACGAATTTCGTGACAAACACACACACACACACACAGACCTACACACACACACACACAGACATACTTAGCGAATTATATATAGTAGGATATTATATTCCGACACGCTCGTTTAATCTTCATTGGCTGGATTGGGTAGTAGCCAATCACAGACGAGTAGATGTGACGCCAATCTCACCAAATCACCTTGTGACGTGCAAATATCGAATGTTTTCAGATTATAGAAGTTTCCTGCCAAGAAATACAGTACTTAGACATTGAGCGAATCTTTTATGAAATGGGTCAATACGAAAACGATGACAATAATCCCGAGTATGGAGCTAAACACGAGAAAATGGAGCGCAGAAGTATGGTGAGTGAACACTAATTTAGAACGAACACTACGAATGGAATATTTAGAACTGAAACGCCCGTCAAACAACCGCGCTGCGTCGTGCACGCTCCGATGCAAGCCGCACGCGGTTGTCGCGTAAATGCAGCACACACGACCGCATTCACTATGGATATGTACAGAGGGTAGATGGATTGAATGTGAGCATTTTGGAGGCTAATCGATTAGTGGATAATTGTGGGTCTCTTCAAACCGGGAGGTGGAGTAGGTCTTGACGACTGAGTATGAACGACGGCTACGTCCGGATGTGCTCGGATCTGAAAGAATCGATTATTGATTTTGTTACCTTGGAAGCACTACTATTCTGTGTTTTCTGGGTAACTGATATCATGGTGGACTTAATAAGAGACCTCCACCCCTTTCGTATACTTTTGAAAGCTCGTTTTCCCAAGAAAGTGGTAAAGCCGAAACCGTGAGGTAGGTAAAAGAAGGATGCATATTTGAAGTTAAAAAAGTGTGAGAACATACGGTATTCTACTGTAGACGGATGGACCTAAAGGGCATGGCTCAAATAATAATCCCGCCCGCAAGATGGCTCCGCCCGCATTGTGCAGCTATCGCGACTCGCGCGTCTATTCCTCATATATTTTATGAGAATAACCCTCGGCCAGATTTCTGGCAACAATCCATGGACGTTTTTCGCAACAAAATCAAGCAGTGAAGGTCTTGGGAACCTAACTGCTCTCCAAAACTCCGCCCATTTGGGAAGCCCCGCCCACGACGGAAAGCCAGGCGTGGAAGTAATTTGGTATAATATAATGTATAGTTCCAGCGCAGAATGACACTTACCTGCATCTCATGCCCGCTGTGTGCTCGACGGAGTTTAGTCTTTTTTCTCATGACTGTGTGGAAGACCGGTGACTCAAGAAAAGGTCATTAGGGTCTACAGTAGTAAGAGGAGGAAAATCATGTTGGAAAGCAACACCAACCTCATGATCGTGGTTAGGATTACCGGTGAGAGCCTGAGCGCTGTGGGCGGACATGGTGGTACGTGAGGATGATCCGCTACTACTAGCTGGTGAAACGGCCCTGTACTGATGGTAGATCGTCTTCTGTAAACAAGTATCAAGAAAGTACTCGGAGCAGCTTCTTCAGCAATAGATATGTACCTTTTTCAAACAGCGCCATGTTGTTGTTCGCTTGGTTCTCCTTGTATTCAACGACCACCGGCTCATATGAAAGCAGGATGTAGATCTTTGGTCCAAACAAGAGGCCAAGGAGAATTGACGCACAACAGATCAGCTCCGCCACTATCACTGTCTCCTGAAAATTGGGGGCCTTTTCTGGGGAATGGAATGATTGAAATAGGCCTAGGGCCGCTGGAATGGAATTGCTATTTCAAAAGTTCACCGTGAGCTTAGTTAATTTAGCTTTTTAAGGAAGAAAGGCAGAGTTCCTGTTAGTCGAGTATTCTTGGAGGTGTTCAAAACAGCCGTGATTGTGAACGCCTGTTTAGGACGCGAGCGGTCGCGGAGCGGTGGCCAGTAGATAGACAACGCCAGGTATCATTTCAAAGGTGAAATAAACACTCCTAAGTAAGATTGGGTACGACCGCTAGTGTAGGCTGTTGGGACCACAGAAGTATAAAAAAGGATAAAGCATTTGCCGTTGATCAATCCCTTTTTGGGATGCGGCACGCATTCTACTTCCATTTGTACATTCGTAGTGGCGTTTGAATGCGATGTGGCCTATACAATGACTTGCGGGGGCCAGCCGATGTACAAGTCAGTGTTTTTATCCTCCCAGACAAGTCTGGTACCAATTAACCGACCCCGGAGGGATGGAAGGCTTGGTTGGCCCGGGCGACTCACGACCCAGGATTTGATCCCCGGACCGCTCGCGTGGTAAGCGCGCCACTTGTCACTACACCACTTCCCCAGAAAGGTCTGACAAACCTTAATCTCGTTAGGCACCATGAAGTACGCCACTATCCAGGACAGCCATATGAGTGTGCATAGCACCGATGAGACGAAAAGCCATTTGGTCTCCTGAAAGCTCGATTACACTTATAATTGGCTCTTGTGGACAGAAGAAGACCAACGTTGGACTTAATTCAACTAACCTTGTAATTCCTCTTGATGTTTCTGTTAATACTGTTGATGAAGAGGGCAAGGAACAGCAGAATGACGACGTAGACGTTGGCGAACACGAACTCTTGCTTACCGAGCGTGCAGACCATTTCAGAGTGAGCGTCCGATACGGCCAATGTAGACATGAATGGCTCGGCAAACCATCTGAAGGGATCGATTGGAAACAGTATACAACCTCATCGGAACTCTTGTATTACCTCGTGTTGAGAGCAATCTGGACGCCGATGATGAAGAACAACAGCAAGCCAGTAGTTCCAAAACGAAATGTGCACCACATTGCCGAAGCCAAGCGTTTCAGCGTTTCGCAGTTGAGTCGCTTTGGCAATCATCACTCCAAAGCACAGCGCATACCCGAATCCATGCATCACGACTCGAAGTCTGCACACCTAAACCAAAACTTAAAGGCACATGCCACGATTGAATCCGTGGAGTCATCGCAAAATAAAATGCAGGATTGCCACGCGATGTGGTGTTCTGAAAGACGAAAGAAACCAAAGCACTCAACCCAGACGCGTAGGGTGGGTGTCCGCCCCTACCCTTTCTCATGTCTCTCGCCCTCCATACGTAACTACGCAAGAGAATGGGCAAGAAACGCAATGGCAAGGTAGGTGGGCACATACCTCTCTACCTCCATGATGAACTCCTAAGGCTTCTATACTATGCACCTCAGCACACCCTCGTGCCATTCCCCACCAGCTACGCCCCCCCCTTCCTCGTTTCGGAGAAAGTGGGGGCGTATTGGGCTGTGTCGTGTCGACGGGGGATCCAAACATCAATGCATAACCATACGGCCAGAGGCGAGGGTTCGAGTATGTGTACGTATTGTGGAGCTTTCTTGAGTCTGTGGGTCATCGCACCAGGGTCAACCCGCACTCGACATTTCGAGGATTTTGCACGATCCCTAGCTCTTCGAGGGGGTCCGGTTGCGACCCCCTATTTTGTTATAATGTTCTAGGCATTAATCGTGAAAACAAACGTCTGCGCGCGTCCGCGTCGTCCTGCGAGCGCGCAGAAGAACTGGGAAGAACGGACGGCGAAGAAATTTTAGAGGGAATAACTTTCTTGGGACGTATTTTTGACTTGTTGAGGTAGATTTTGATTGTGCCTGAGGTGCGCTTCCAGAAAACTACAAGGATTGCCTAACTCTCCGGAAAGTACTTCTGTTAGAAGTGGAAAACCCAAAATTCTAAGAAGGCGCACCTTCAACTTTGAAGGCCATAAAATCTTTCGTATGCGACATTTTGGAAATCTGTAAAAAGTTTCAGAAACTTCAAATATTTCTCTAACAAAAGTATAAAAAGTTTAGTGATTGTCCCCTTTTTCAAAAAATTGTCCCGTTCGAACATTTTTCGTGCAAAAGCGAGTTTTTGGGCTTTCAGCGACCATAACTCACTTCATTTTCATTTCTGTGATTTTTTCATGGGGTGAAAGTACAGGATTTGCTCTTTCTAACAAGCCCCAAACCGTTTTTCAAAATCCATTTTTCGAGAAAATCACACGTTCGAACATTTTGGGGGGTTTTGCCGAACACTTTTTTATGAAATCGCGAGTTTTTGGGCTTTAAGCGGGCATAACTCACTTCATTTTCATTTCTGATGCACTTTTTTCATGGGGTGAAAGTACAGGATTTGCTCTTTCTGACAAGCTCCAAACCGTTTTTCAAAATCCATTTTCCGAGAAAATCACACGTTCGAACATAACTTCCTTCAAAACATTGGGAAGGGCGAAGCAACATTTTTGAGACTACGAATTCCGCTTTCTACGTGTTTCTTCTTCTTGTTTGTTTTGCGTTGTCGAAAGAATCTGCTCAAAAATTAGGTCCCGAAAACTACTTCAGCCCGAATATCGAACTTTCATAGGATGCTTCAACGTTCTTCTATCTCGAAAAACACCGTAATTTCCAAAACTGTCTCTCTGTGCATAATAATCGAATCTAATGCGGTCTGCACAACACATTCTTGCCCTCCGATACGCCGCGCACGCGCCTGTGGCTGGGGTCCTCGAAATTGCGACCCCCTTCGACCAAAATGCGACCCCTTCGTTCGAACATTCGACGGTTTGACGATCGACCCCCCTAAAGGAGGCGGGTCGCGAAATTTTTGAAAAGCGGCTCACGGTTGACCCTGGCTGTAACCATGGTCGGGTCGATCAAGGCCGGGGTCGCTAAGTCATAAAATGGGATTGTGATCATGCACAGGCGGATGGTTTCAGGAAAAGTTATTGCCTCTTTACGTCTAGCGTCATTGGGGCATTTACGAGCAAGGCTTGCTCCAAAGCAGGCCTATGCTTCAAGTGGGTTGTGGAGAAAGCCCTATTAAGCAGTAGTGAAGAGAAAGTCGTCCGAAAAAAGCCACCCAGGTTTCAAAAGTGCTTACCAGATCCGTGGCGTCGAAAACGAAGAAATAGGCAGTGACATAAAGGATGATGATGCCAACCAGTAGCGTTATCCCAAGTGACTGATTGCCTTTCACAACACGGAGGTAGAGTTTCACCAGCACTGAAAGTCATTTTATTGAATGAACATTTTTTCTTAAATTGAAACGTTTGGCCAAGTTTCGAACTACGAAATGGGAACTCAGGAGAAGCTTAATCAACGTGGAATGCCCTTCATCATCAAATTAGACTGACAAAGGTGATGAATAAAGGGCGATTTTGATAATACTTGAATAATAATTGACGATAATAAGTGGTGATTTCAGATGATAATAAGTGATAATTTTCAAAGTCAAGTCGCTTTCATGGATTCCATGAGAACTCAGCAGCAGTGCTGGTAGGAGGCACCTGAGCATGGCTCAGAGCTGTCAAAAGATCCTTTCCTTGGCATAATGGTTGCCGACATAGGAAGACAACAATGCATGCTCACCGAGCACTAGTACTGCAATTGCTATGATAGTGAGGACCGAGATCAGAGCTAAGAGGACGAAGTTGTGAGTGTACTGACGCCATTGTCCCATAGATAGATGCTCGAAAACCTGAAGATATTGGTTTTCTCAATGACAGTACACATAAAGGCAATCCTTAGCGCCTTCACAAGACTCACTGATTGATAGCCGACTTTCTCGGCTCCAAATGCAGGCTGTCGTCGAACATACGATCCAGTACTCCTGTCGGTATCGACCTGCTCGGAAGCGTATACGAACGAATCCAAAGGACGCTGCAATTGCGACAGTCTCATTCTCAGTCGTTTGACTGGAAGGATCTGCGTTTACCTGGAGGAAGTCACCGTCAAGGAAGCACTTGCACATCGGCGGTTGACATTTCGACTCACTCTACAGGTCCGTCGAAGAAACTGCGATAGAGCGAGTGCAAGCGAAGACCGCCATTTAGCGACCAGTTGCCAAGAGTACGGTAGTCATATTCGTCTGAAAGGTGTATATTTTCATCTAAAGGAGAATAGCGAGCGTTTCTGAATGCACCTACCGTTTCCTACTTGCAGGTACTCATAGATTTCTACGTCATCTTCGATGCCGGTCTTTTTCAATTGTGTGAGGATCAGCTCACGACCGCTTTCGTAGAACTCCAAGCACAAACCCGATTGAGCTGGACAGAGCTTCTGAAAGCACAGTATGTAAGTTTTGAAGGAGGATTTTACGATGAAAAGGCAGCCTGCTGTAAATTAAGTTAGAGACGGTCAGTGATGCACAAAAGGAGAAGAACCCGAGAAACATGGCCTAGATCGCGAGAAATGGGACCCCTTCCTTCACCCGTTAACTTGAGCATTGATGCGACTCTCATCGGTGCTGCCCTCTTCAACGCTGAAGCTCTCTTTCTCTCTCTCCCTCTGCTAAATGGCTAGAGGGTCAAACAGGACACGGATGGGACGTTTCCGCGTCCATAGCGCGCACTTGCGCCGTGTGGACTCCATTCTATATTACAGGGTCTCCCATAAGTATTGCACCAAAATTTTGGGCCTTCAAATTTCTGTTACGTGATTTAAAGCTTTTCTTCGAGATTGGCGCAACCTACTCACCTCCTCTCCTTTTTTCTCAATAGACCATGCCGAATTCACGGCCTTAGCGTTCCGGTCTGCATTGTCATCGGGCGCCTATTAACTTCAACAGAGGGCCTAAAAAACCCCTCTCACACAGTTTACCAAAGTTATTAGTATGTAGAGAGTGGTCGGATAACAACTGCTCACAGTCCATTATAAGTTGCATAAGCACCACTGCTCAATCCAACGGGAGGAGCACAGCAGAGACAAAAAGTTCAAAGAGCTGGTGTCGAGGGCCGAAAATGGGATTATGCGGGCACCGTTTTCCTCGACGACAAAATTCTCCATGGAGCGGAGCTACAATCTTCAAACTTCGAGGATGCCCGCATGAGATTTTGAGGAAGTAAGTCAGAGTGGGAAGAATATTTGCCACAAGCAGCAGCCGAACAAAAGGGTCTCAACTACCGGTCGCTCACCATCACTGCCTGTTTACAAAGGAATACAACTTGATACTAGACCGAGCCAAGGGACATTTCGGTGCACCATCTGTTATTGAGGTATCTAGCCACTTTGAGGAGGGGTGATGATCTTTTCAATAGGGCCCAGCTTCTGCATTGGAGGCAAAGATTGTTCACGAGCGCAATCTTTCTGATTTCACAACCTCGAATGAATGACTTTCCTATCCTTTGATTTTCAGCGTGCTGGACCTTCCTTTGTAGGGCTATGTTAGAGGGCAGAGCCTGCACTAACATTACATCTACATGGATGAGCCGGGGCCTTTTCTAGTCAAAAGGATTCTGGAGACACCAGGATGCCATGCGGGCCACAGTAGAGTTGCGTTCGAAGCAATTGGGAGCCATACTCACAACAACAGGGGAGCATATCCAATGAATGTCATTCCTTTCAATATGTAAATGTATTGCTAACATTTTTACAAAACCTCTTGAAAATACATCCATTTTGAAAGAAGTTACAAAGCAAAGAAAAGTGGTGCAATATTTATGGGACACCTGTAGATCATCAAGGGCATAGCCTTCGATGCAAATCGGTGACGGCCCACATCCTAAGATCCGCTGTCTCTCCACTATGTAAACTTTATTCCTTCTTCAACTTTCGTCCTTATCGTGGAATCCCCTTTCAAAGAGTTCTCAGCAGTTTCGTTCGTTTCATCACTAGTGGTTGAAAAAGAATATTACTCCCACTTACACTACGTCTACTTTCATTTAAGCCACAGGAAATCACCTCGAACGAATCACATAATGTGACTCTAATTTTGACTCGCTCCTGATTTCTATTCTGTTTTACACTGGTGTATTCAAACGTAAAAGTTGAAGTTTTTGATTATT